AGTAAAGTCCGAGGCGGGCTACGGGTGAAAAGCTCTTTTCCCCGGCACATTTATGCCCCTTTTCTTGTTCCTCATCCTCTACCCGAAATTGGCAAGGTTTGTCAACAGCACCGGTTTCCCTTTGAGGGGACCCCCAAATCTGCAGGGACAGTGTTTTCCCATTGGGGCCCATTGAAAGGTCCAGGCGGACATCAACCAAAATCTTTCGGGGGTGCAGAAAAAATAGGGAAGTTCAACGATGAAAAAATTTCAATTACTCAGTATGGTAAACTGGGGGAAAATTAAAATCTTCTAAGTACAAAACAAATTTGGCCAAAAAATGAGCGAAACCCCAACGTCAAAAAACTGGGAGTGTTTATGTCGGGGAAAATCTCACCTTAAGGGGACCAAAAACATTGTACCCAACCCACATTGCTAGAAAAATGACAGGATGGTAATGAAAACCTTAAAAATAGGGGGGCCCAAAGCCCATGTTTGAACTTTAGGCCCATTGTTTATCTAGGTGGAATTTGCCCCACTCAAAACAGCCCTTTTAAAGGGCGGTAAAATTGGCCCTAAAAAATTGTACAGAGAACTTTCACGGCGTGAAAAACGGGGGTTTAAAACACCTCATTACGGGGAGACTTGGGGTTTTTTTTAAACCCTTTTTTTCCCCGGGAAAACGGGGGAGGGAGAGTAAAATATTATTTTAAAACCGGGGAAAATTAGAGGGACTGGGTACCAAAACTTGCACACGAAAATCACTCACTACGAAAGAAAAGGACTTGGCGGGGCGTGCCCCAAATCCCCCCAAAATAAAAAGCAGGGGGGGTCCTGGGGCACGTTAAGAGCCTTACAATAAGTGTCAGGGGGAGAGGTTCAACTGCCTCCACCCACACAAAAGGGGGGGTTACAAAGCCCCCTGGCAGTCTTCAAGCTGGCATTGGAAAAAGCCCCAAAAGTCAGTTCCTGACCCGCCGGGTGTGGCGTGGGGTTTTTTGCTTTCCCAGCCAGCACCCAACACCCCGGGTTTGATCAGGCCCTGTCCCCCAGGAGGCCCTGGTCACAGACCGGGCCCGGGGGGGGCGTTGCCCCCCGGAAACTCTCTCCGGGTTTTTTTTTTTAGATCCAGGTGAATTTGTAGTTTTAATAATTAAAAACCAAATTAAGAGTCGGTGTGGTTAAAAAGTGCACTCTAGTTTTTTTACCCCAACAGAGGGCCTTGTACCCCAAGGCTTGGGGCCTGTAGGAAGTTCCATTTCCCCCCAGGGGCTGTATGACCCCCAAAGCGTTTGGGGGCCCCCTAAAAAATGTAGTATTAAAATAACGAAAAAATTTAAATTTTAATTTAAAAAAAAAATTTAAAAATAAAAAATAATAATTTAAAAATAAATAATTAAAAATAAAAAATAACGAAAAAAAAACAAAAAAACAAAAACAAAAATAATAATAATAATAATAATAAATAATAATAATTAAAAAATATAATAATAATAATAATTAAAATAATAATAATAACATTAATAATAAAAATTAAAAAAAAAAATAAAAATAAAATATCAAAAATAATAATTTTAAAAAATAAAAATATTTAAATTTTAAAGATAATAATAATAATAATAATAAATAATAATAAATAATAATAAAAATAATAAAAAAATAAAAAAAAATAATAATAAAAATATTAAAAATAATAATAATAAAAATTTAAAAATTAAAATAATAATAATTTTAATAATAATAATTATAATAATATTAATTTTAATAATAAAATTAAAAAATGTGCTTTTTTGGGGGACCTTTTTAGAAGGGGCTGAGACGGTAAGTATCCAGTTTTGATGGGAAAAATAGGGAGGTAAGTATCCCGTGTGAGGGGAAATTTGCAGGTAAGTCATCCTGTGTGTGGAATTTTAACAAATAAGTTTATCCTGTGTGATTTGGGAAAATTTGCAGGGAAGTCATCCTGTGTGATGGAATTTGCAAGGGGGAAATCATCCCGTGTGTTTGGGAAAAAACAAGTAAATTTATCCGGTGTGATGGGGAAAATAGCAGGGAAGTCCTCCCGTGTGATGGAATATAACAAGTAAGTCATCCTGTGTGATGGAATATAGCAGGTAAGTCATCCTGTGTGATGGAATATAGCAGGTAAGTCATCCTGTGTGATGGAATATAACAAGTAAGTCATCCTGTGTGATGGAATATAGCAGGTAAGTCATCCAGTGTGATGGAATATAGCAGGTAAGTCATCCAGTGTGATGGAATATGACAGGTAAGTCATCCAGTGTGATGGAATATAGCAGGTAAGTCATCCTATGTGAGGGAATATAGCAGGTAAGTCATCCTATGTGAGGGAATATAGCAGGTAAGTCATCCTATGTGAGGGAATATAGCAGGTAAGTCATCCAGTGTGATGGAATATAGCAGGTAAGTCATCCTATGTGAGGGAATATAGCAGGTAAGTCATCCAGTGTGATGGAATTTTAGCAGGTTTAAATCATTTCCCGTGTGTGGGGGAATTAGCAGGTAAGGGCATCCAGTGGAGGAATATAGCGGTAAGTCATCCTATGTGGGGAATTATTGCAGGTAAGTCATCCTGTGTGATGGAATATAGCAGGTTTAAGTCATCCTGTGTGATGGAATATAGCAGGTAAGTCATCCAGTGTGATGGAATATAGCAGGTAAGTCATCCTGTGTGATGGAATATAGCAGGTAAGTCATCCTGTGTGATGGAATATAGCAGGTAAGTCATCCAGTGTGATGGAATATAGCAGGTAAGTCATCCAGTGTGATGGAATATAGCAGGTAAGTCATCCTGTGTGATGGAATATGACAGGTAAGTCATCCAGTGTGATGGAATATAGCAGGTAAGTCATCCTGTGTGATGGAATATGAGAGGTAAGTCATCCAGAGTGATGGAATATAGCAGGTAAGTCATCCTGTGTGATGGAATATAGCAGGTAAGTCATCCTGTGTGATGGAATATAGCAGGTAAGTCATCCTGTGTGATGGAATATAGCAGGTAAGTCATCCTGTGTGATGGAATATAGCAGGTAAGTCATCCAGTGTGATGGAATATTAGCAGGTAAGTCATCCTGTGTGATGGAATATGAGAGGTAAGTCATCCAGTGTGATGGAATATAGCAGGTAAGTCATCCAGTGTGATGGAATATGAGAGGTAAGTCATCCAGTGTGATGGAATATAGCAGGTAAGTCATCCAGTGTGATGGAATATAGCAGGTAAGTCATCCTGTGTGATGGAATATAGCAGGTAAGTCATCCTGTGTGATGGAATATAGCAGGTAAGTCATCCAGTGTGATGGAATATGACAGGTAAGTCACCTGTTGATGGAAATAGCAGGTAATCACCCGTGTGTGGAATATGAGAAAGGTAAGTCATCCAAAAGTGATGGGATATAGCGGTAATCATCCTGTTTTG